CTCTCTCTCTCTCTCTCTCTCTCTCTCTCTCTCTCTCTCTCTCTCTCTCTCTCTCTCTCTCTCTCGCTCTCTCTCTTCCTTTGCCTCCACTAAACCCACAAAAGGCACCGACTACACTAATCTCTGGGGACCTGAGACCAGCCCCCACGTCCTGCCGCCCACTCTGGCCCCTCTGACAGGCCGTGGTTAAAGCTGTGAAGTGCTCAGGGCCAGAGTCATCCCCCAGAAGCGCGCCCTCCGGCCTGAGCCAGGGCCGACCCTGCAGCTGCAAGGTGGCCGGCCCGCCCTGCGGGCCCCGCGTCCCCCAGGAGGGAAGGAGTGGGCTCGGCCTCCCTCCGTCTGTGGCGTGAGTGTCCGTGGCCTGTGCGTCTCCGTGATGACGACTGTGTTGTCTGTTCTCTGTTGTCTGTTCAAATTCTTTGTCGTGTAGGTAAGATGCAGGATGGCAATGTGGACGCCAGCCAGAGCAAAGGTAACCCTTTCGCATCAACCGGGTCTGGGGTCCCTGTGGCCCTCCCCCGCGCACCTGCCCCTGGGGGCCGATGTCTTTGGGGGGCGTAGCGGTGGCCCAGTGATGCCAGGGCAGACGCAGGAGTCACTTGGTAAGGACAGGGGACCCCACCTTCTCCCCTGACTTTGAGCTAAGCTGCCAGTTGAGCCGGGGACTTGAAGCTGGCTCTCGAGATCCTTCTGGCCTAGCGGCTGGGCCCGGCCCACCGGCCAGTATCAGATGGAAAGAGGAGGGGGCTTGGCACCACGTGGGACTGACCTGCTCCACCACCCTGAAGCCTCCCCCGCCTGCCGAGCGAGCCCAGAGCCCACGTGTCCTGTCTGGGTGTGGGGAAAGCCCAGGGGCCTTGAGGGAGACCCTGTGCCCGCAGGCCGGGCGACCCTGCTCACCCCTACCGGGGCCCAGAGCGGGCATGTGCCCTCCCTGCTGTCCTGGGCCCCAGGCCCAGGGCGGCGAGTGCTCCCGGGCCCTGGTCGCCAGCTGGAAGAGGCAGCCCCCAGGTTCGGGACCTCTGTGCGGGCCTTGCCGGGCCCCGGCCGGGGAGCACGTGCCTCCCCTGGGCAGTCAGGGTGGTGCCAGCGTGGCCGCCCTGCAGACTGACCCGTGCGTGCGTGTCTGTGTGTGTGTCTGCGTCCGTGTGCTGCACGCTCCGCCCCTTGCAGCCAAGCAGCAGGACGGGGCGGCCGCCATGGAGATGCAGCCCCTCAAGAGCGCCGAGGGCGGCGACGCCGAGGACAGAAGGAAGGCCAGCATGCACAAGAAGGAGAAGTCGGTGCTGCAGGGCAAGCTCACCAAGCTGGCGGTGCAGATCGGCAAGGCGGGTGAGCGCAGTGCCCAGCGACCCCGGCCCCCCCACCCCCTGCCGCCCCGGGCCGCTGCCCCTCTGCAAAGCGGGTCCTGCGCACGAGGGTCCCTGAGACCCGCCCTGCTCCTGCGGCTGGCCGGGGCGGATACAGCGGGAGCTCGGCGCCCCGTGGGGTAGAAGGCCCAGGGCGTGGCCAGGCTGCAGAAGCACCACCCGCCTGCGCTCCGTCCCACGGGGTGTGAACGTGGGTGGGCAGCTCTTCTGGCTCTGAGCGGGGCCCCTGGCCCTGCCCCACCGCCAGGTCGCTGTGAGCACAAAGCAGGGCGGGTTTAGGGAGCTCAGCTGCACCGGCTGGAGAGCCCGGACCTCACAGGGCCTGGACTTGGCGGTGAGGACAGTGGGAGCCACGCAGAGGCTTGAGCGGGGCCAGCAGGGTGGATTTGGCTTCCGTGTGGACCGCCTTGGCTATGCTGCAGAGAAAGGGTGGACGAGGTTGAAGGTGACCCCAGGAGCCCAAGGAGAAGCCCCGCTGGGCCCAGCGTGACGCCCTCCGGGGAGCCGGGAGACGCAGGTGGCGGCTGGTGCCCGGGACCAGGGAGTCGGCAGGCGGCCCCCCCTGCCCGCCGTGGCCTCGGGCTCCCCTCGGGGGAGGACGCAGCCAGCCTGTGGCCTCCTCCCCACCTGGCTGCTCGCTCCTCTCCTCGGTGGCTGCCTCCCGGCTCTAATTATAGGAACCGCAGCCTGGGGGAGGGAGGCAAATTACAAGCTTGGCCATCTATATTTAAACTCGGGCCTGGTGACAGCTCCCGGCTGCCGTGCCTGGCTCCCCGCCCAGCGGCTGTCAGGCGGGCATCAGGCAGCCCTCAGGCGCCACAGCTGGAGGGGGCGGGCGTGGACCCCGGGATTTCCTCCGTCCTCTCCTTGGAGCAGACTCCACAGAGCCGGGGGCAGGGGAAGACTCAGCGAGGACTACCCCATGCGCTCTGAAGTCCCCATTCATCTCCAGAGCCCCCCGGCCCTGCCAGGAGCAGAATTCACAGCGAAGGCTCCTGGGTCCCAGCCCCACTTCCGTTCCGCTCATGACCTGAACCCCGAGCGGGAACCCGAGATGGGTGGGCTGGGGACTTACAAGGGGGTCACTCAGGTGAGACGGGGTCAGGTCAGGGAGCCAGACAGCTGAGGTTTCCAGAAAATCCCCAGTCTCGTCGGGGAGCCATGCAGGGCCTGTCCTGCTCTCCTTTAAGGGGACCAGGCTTTTGGATCCCCCCACATCAGCCCTTGGTGTCGGCCATCGGGTTGGGGTGTACACCCAGACACTCCCAACAAGGGGACCCCAGTCACCCCAGCACCAGCTTCCTCTGCAGAAGCTGCAGGTGCAAGGCCTTGGTAGACACCTGCGCGGCAGCTACAGCAGGTAAGGGGGGGGCCACAGGGAGCCAGGCAGGGCCCCCCTTGCTTGCTAACCCTACGGTGCCTCCTCACCGGTGGCCCCTTGCTGAACCTCAGTTTCTTCACCCATGAAAGCACTTCCTGCCTTCTCCTCAGGCTGGACACTCTTCCTGCAGGCCACCACCTGGCCGCTGCTTGTCATCCTTGCACTGTGTGCTCAGATACCACCTCCTCCAGGAAGTCTTCCCTGGCCACCCACAGTGAACTGGCCACTCCCCACCCCACCCCCCATGTCCCTTCGTGCATTTTTGTTTGTTTGTTCTTAGCTTTATGAGCTATAACTGATGCCCCAAACAGCAGGCGTCTTGCATACTCACCTTGGCGATACCCACAGTAACAGGTCCACAACTGAGGTGCTGAACACCCCCTCCCGCTCCAGAACTGCCCTTGTGTTCTTTCACAGTGTTCTGGTTTTTATTTTGGGACAAGGACACTTAACAGATCTGTCATCTCATCCATCTGAAGGGCACAGCAGCACCGTGTTAGCTGCACACACTGTGCAGAGCTGCAAACACTGTCATCCTGCCCACCTGAAACCCCAGACCCACTGGAAACAGCCCCCTCGCCTGCGCCCCATGGCCCTTCTGTTCTCTGCCTCTGAGTCTGGCTGTTGAGATGCCTCAACTGTCCCGTGTCTAGCTTGTCTCACCTTAGTATAATGAGCTCCAGGTTGATCTAAGTTGCTGCAGATGGCAGGCCTTCCTTTTCATGGCTGAGTAATATTCCAGCAGGCACCTTTACCACATTTTCCTCTATCTGTCAATGGACATTTGGATGATCATCTTCTTATCAGCACAGGGTCCTCTTCCTTTCCCTGGTCCTGGAGAGTCTTGTCACAGTGCTGTCTGAATCTGGATACTCTTGGTCATCTGTTCTCTGTCTCCCTCTACCATCTTGGCCTCCCTTTCCCTGCTCCCTGGTCCCGGTAGTCAGAAGCACTGCGTGCCTGCACACTGCAGTGCTCAAATGGTGCTTGTCCTATGAATGAGTAAACGGTGTGTGGTTATCGTGGGAGAACCCTGTGCAACCACGCTGACCCTCTCACCCAGCCCTCAGCACACATGACCGCTGCTGTGTATCAGGCACCGTCCCGGGCCTGAGCACATCCCACCCTCACAAGACCATGGAGTCAACACACACACCCATTTTCCGAGGGGGAACTTGAGCTCCATGAGGATTGGGGGCCTGTCCCCAGCCCCCACACAAGTGGGTCAGGCTGCGAGCGGGGTCTGCTTGACCCCAAAGGCCCCATAGCCGAGTCGACACCCACCCCCCAGCCCAGAAGCACCCCTGAGCACACCCCCGCCCCTTTGCAGGCCTGGTGATGTCGGCCATCACGGTGATCATCCTGGTGCTCTACTTCACTGTGGACACCTTCGTGGTCAACAAGAAGCCGTGGCTGCCCGAGTGCACACCCGTGTACGTGCAGTACTTCGTCAAGTTCTTCATCATCGGCGTGACGGTGCTGGTGGTCGCTGTGCCCGAGGGGCTCCCTCTGGCCGTCACCATCTCGCTGGCCTACTCAGTGAAGGTGAGCAGGACGCAGGTGCTCTTGACAGTGGCCGCCCAGCTGGGGTAGGGAGGTCATCAGGCCAGTGCTGGGGTGCTGAGAAGAACTGAGGGGAGGGAGTAGGCACATGGGCGTCCGGAGAGAGACATGCGGGAGCCCCAAACTCACACACCTCAGGGAGCCCAGGGGCATACCTTGTCCTGGCTCAGGGACAGCCTTGGTGCCCGGTCTGCGCCGTGCCAGACACAGGCCCAGTGCTGCGGACCTGAAGAAGCCAGAGACCTTAACATCTGCTCTCCTGACTGGTACATGCTGATAGTCACCCCAACTTCAAAACTAAAGCACAGCCATGTTCATGACAGCCGCGCTCATGCAGGCCCATCCCACCCCCAGCTGTGGGCAGTCTCTGCCTCGCTGGCAGGGGCCCCCCCAGAGCCCTCAAACTTGTGTGCTTGGCTGAGCTCGGGGGGTGTCCCTAAAGTTTGGAAGCGGTAACCTAAACAAAAAGGGTGCTGAGTTTTATAGAGGTCCCCTCCTCCGAAGAGACTTCCGAGCAGCCCAGCGAAGGGCTGGCTGTGGGCATGTCCCGCAGACCGAGCACTGACCTCCCGTGCCCAGGCCGGGCCGACAGAGCACTGACCTCCCGTGCCCAGGCCGGGCCGACCGAGCACTGACCTCCCGTGCCCAGGCCGGGCCGACCGAGCACTGACCTCCCGTGCCCAGGCCGGGCCGACCGAGCACTGACCTCCTGTGCCCAGGCCGGGCCATCTGCAGAAGCTGGTGCAGGGGTGGGCCGCTGGCGTCTCCGCGGGGCGCCGCTCACCTGGCCCCCTAGGGGCGCTGCAGGCCTGGTCTCCCCCAGGTGCTCACACCCTGGGCTCATTCCCTCCCCCGGCTCCATGGGGGCCCCTCGGCGGCCAGGGCCCATGCAGAGCAACCCTGAGGCAGAGCTCCACGTTTCTGTGATTTTTAAAGATGCATTTCTTTATGCATGCAGAACTGGAGTTTATCCCAGGCCGAGGTGCCGGAGGACGCAAGCAGCATCATTTTCCAGGCTGGAATTTGGGCTGGGTTCTCAGGTGTAAATTTCAGACAGAAAAGAGATCACCGGCAGGTGCCAGGAAGTGGCAGCTCGGGGTAAAGGATACGGCCCTTATCGGCTCCTTGTTTTGGGGTTCTCGGAGAAACTCCACCCCCAGAGCAGAGCCCCAGCAGGCCACAAGACGATGCCCAGGGCCCGGGGCTGAATGGTGACTCTCGGAAGGCCCCCACAGCTTCGGGACCCCCGCGGCTGCGTCACCGAGCCCCGGACCAGCCCTGAGCTGGTCTGGGGGAGCCACACACCTTTCAGGCCCCCAGGCCCTCTGCGGGGTGCCCCTGACACGCACCCCTTAGCTGCGGTACGTGGTGGCTCTCCTGCGCTCACTTGGTTGACTCAGCCCAGCACCGAGGCCAGAGGCAGCAACTCTCCCCCTCCCCGAGCCGCCCCCCCCCAGGAGCCGCCACCCACAGTGTGGAGATGCCACGTGGGATCGTAAATCTAGTAGCCAAGGAAAATAAAGGAAAAAGAAACAGGTTAAACTAGCTTTACTTAGATGATTATTATATAACTGCCCGTTTGTTATGGCCGTTTAGCCATGTAATTTGCCTAAACGGCTATATACAAATTATCGTCAAGCCAACCTGGAAGCCACATAAAAACGCTAGTGAGATAGTCTGCATTTTACAGAGGTCCGCAAAACCACCATCTACCTCAGGCTTACCGCGTTTCACGTCAGACTGGCCGTTATTTCAAGCGTCGCCAAATGTGGCTCCCCTGTTAGGCCCAGCACTCGGAACCCCAACGGTGGGCCCATTTCAGAGAGTTGGGATGGGCTGGGGTCCCGATGGGATGACCTATGCTGTGAGGGTTAAACACCGGCTCAAAACCCAGCTTTGACCCCCATCGTGACCCTGGTCACGTGGCCTTGGCATCCTCAAAGGCCAGAATGGACTCCACGGTCCCCGTAGGCTTCGTGGGAATCTCAGTACCTCCGTCAAGGAAATAAGTGCAGGAAGACTCTTGCACACTGTGACTGTGTCACAAACTCAAATTGCTCTTGTTCATTCATTCAACATACATTTATGATGCTGACCAGCACAGGTCACAGTAAGAGAAACTGCAAAAGCGCATCATCTTGCGATAGGCATTTTGTTGCCGATGTGGACGGAAAGTAAAATTACTCCGGGGCCCTCCCGTGGCCCAGCGGGTCGGAGGGCTGCCCTGCGAAGCTAAGCCAAGCTCTGGCCGCTTCTGCGAGTTCGATCCCTGGCCCCGGAGGTGACCACGTGGCGCGTCAGACCTGTCCTGTCTCACCCGCTGCTCCCCTCAGCAGTGGACTTTGTCGATCTGCCTGTTCTGCTCCCCACTCTGTCTCTGGTGAAGCCTCTCGCCAGCCCTGCACCTCTGGCTGTACCCCAGTTCTGTATGCATCAATAAATAAATCTTTAAAAAAAAAAATTTGAGAAAATACGAACCAAATAAGGAATGGGTCTTTATAGTAGGGTTACAATTAGGTGAAGTACACTAATAGGTTAAATATTAAGGTTTATTAATAGGTTATATTTAGCTAATTAGTAAAAGTAAGGCCTTTAAGAATCAGGATGAGAACATTGGAACTATTCTCTCAGAAATAATTTTTCTTGCTGTCGTGATCTACAGTTCAATAAACTAAGTCCTCATAGTAATACATAATTGTTAATAAAAAGTAGCTGCGTTGGAAACCTAAAACAAGGCTTGCTAGCAACAGGTCAATAGCTCAGGTCTTAAGAGAACAACATTCGAAGTAATCCGAGGACACAGCCTTGGGGTTGCCTCTTCTCTGATTTTCCTAAGAAGCAGAGCGAGCGCTTCTGTAACCCAGATCACGGAGAAACTTGTCACCTCTTTTCCTGGGCTCTGCAAGGGAAGCAGGGGGCTGCGCAGCCCAGGCCACCAGCAGGCCGCAGCCCTCACTCCCGCGGAGTTCACCCAGCCCCTCCTCACGGCCGCCCCCTCTCCCGCCCGCCCCCCAGAAAATGATGAAGGACAACAACCTGGTCCGCCACCTGGACGCCTGCGAGACCATGGGCAACGCCACGGCCATCTGCTCGGACAAGACGGGCACGCTGACCACCAACCGCATGACCGTGGTGCAGGCTTACGTGGGCGATGCCCACTACAAGGAGGTGCCCGACCCCAGCTCCATCCACGCCAAGACCATGGAACTGCTGGTCAACGCCATCGCCATCAACAGCGCCTACACCACCAAGATCCTGGTAAGCAGGCGGCCGCCTGGCGGGGGCGACGGCCCAGGGGCGGCACAGCAGGGCGGGTCGAGCCCGGGCCTCGGGTCTTAAGTCCTGCTGATACCGGTTGGGGTGGCCAGGAAATAAGCACCTGCTTCCTTTGACTTTGCTATCATGTTAGTGCGGGAAAAAAAAAACAGAACAGTGAATTATATATTTTTTTATTACAAGCTGCTCCTAAACTTAGCGACTCAAAACAAAACCTTGCACGTTGCTCACAGTTCTGCGAGTCGCAGCCGCCTGGGCTCAGCTGGGCGGTTCTTGGGGTCCGAGTCGGGCGCCCCAGGCACCTGAGTCTGCCTCTTGGGGGGCTCGGGGTGATCGAGTGTGGCCTCTGCCAGGCGCTGGGCCCTGCTCCGCACAGCCCTGCCTCCCCGGCAGGCCACTCGGGCTCATCATTCACACTGTCACTTGGCTGCATCCTGGTGGCCAAAGTAAGTGTCCGCCCAGATTCAGGGAGCGGGGAATGCACTCTTTCTCGTGCAGGGTCACACTGCAGAGGGCAAGGGTTTGGAGAGAGCACTTCTAACCACCCATGAGTATTGTTAGTAATGGGAGCGGTACTACTGGGCTTTTTAAAAAATTTTATTATAACATTGGGGCTACATGTTTACCCCTCCAGTGTGCCCATGTACCGCTCACCCTCCACCAAGCCAGTCCTCCAGTGCCCTAGCTCCGCCCTCTCCCACCCTCTCCCTCCCCCCATCCCTTCTGGTAACCAATAAATCTTTTCACTGAGGTCCAAGATTTGCTGTATTTTTCCAGTGTATGCCTTTGTTACTTATGTTGCACAGTTAGTGAAACCGGCCAAGCTCTGCCTCGCACGTTCTGACTTGCTCCTTGCTCCACGCTGCATCATCACCTCAGGCCCGTCCGTTTCATCCCACAAGGAGCAATCTCACCTTTTTCAATAGCTAGTAGTATTCCACTCGTTTCTTGATCTGTCCGCCTGTCCATGGACACTCGGGCAGGATCCTGGACTTGGCGACTGTGGGCAGCGCTGCCGTGGCACAGGAGGGCGTCTGTCTTCTCATGTGTTTAGAGTTTTCGTACCTGGGGGTAAACGCCCAGCAGGGGCGTCCCTGAGTCCTGGGGTTTCCATTCTTATTCTCCTGAGACCTCGCCGTGTATTTTCCACAGAGGCTGCACCAGCCTGCATTCCGCCCAGGGAGGAGACCCTTTTCTTCCACCCCTGCCCAGCATTTGTTGTTCCCGGTCTTCTTGATCTAGGCCATTCTCCCTGGCTGAGACGGAATCTCATTAGGGTCTTTTGCATTTCCCTGAACAATTTTTCACGCGTTTGTAGGGCATCTGCGTGTCTTCTTTAGAAAAACGTCAGTGAGGTCTTTGGCCCAACTTTTGGGTGGGGCTGTCTGGGGCTGGGTTGCGTGAGCATGTCCTCCATCTGGGGTGTTGGCCCCTTGTCAGAGGCGCGGCTGACTGCATCGTGCCCTGACCCGCTTGTCCGGGAAGTGCAGGCGTCCTCTGTGATTAGCCGGCGCCGCAGGGCGGTCCGTCCTGGAGCAGCCGCCCTCGGACAGGGCACTGCTGCAGGGGGGCTCCTGGCGGGCTCGTGTGCCCACCTAGCATGCCCGAGCCATGCCCTCCACCTTCTCCCCCGAGCCAGCGCCAACCTTCAGGATCTGTAGCTTGCGGGAGCTGCCTGCAACTTTTCGGGAACAGAGGAGAGCGTGAGTCTGCAGGGAGGAGCCCTGGGCTGCTGAGAGCAGGTGACTTGGGCCTCCAGGCCCTGGTGCCGCTGGGCTGCGGGCGCCGACAGCAGAGGAAAGCGGGTCGGGAGAAGCCCGCGGATCGGGAGAGCACCCTGGGGCAGGCAGAACCGGACGACGTGTGGCTCTCCTCCGCCCTTCCCCACCCGCCCCAGTTTGGGACTGCGGGAGACCAGCGAGCTTTATTCTGTTCCCCAGGCCCCCCTAAAATAGCCGCGCTGCCCTTAATGAGCTCAGCCGGCAGATGTACGGAGCAGAGCGCGAGGGGGTGATTCCCACAGCAGGCTGCAGGCGGCGGGGGCGGCCGCGTGGGCAGAGCCGGGCGGGGCGGGCTCGGATTGAGACGTCGTTATGCAGTGACAGGCAGGAGGGGCTCTGGGAGCCGCCGGCGTGCTGCGGGAGCCTCCGCCGTGGTGAGTCGCAGTCAGGCAGCGTTCCGCAGCACGTGGCAGAGCCGGGAGCTCGTTTCAGATGCCGGGAGGAGGTGGCGGGCGAGCCTGGGAGAGCGCGGAGCCTGGCGTCCGGGGTCCTTGTCAGGCCAAGTCACCAGTGCCCCCTCTCTGTGCCTCGAGCCTGGCACCCGGCGGCGCCCGCGCTCCTCTCTGAGTCTCTCCCGAAAGGGCCCTGGCCACGTGCTTCTTGCTGGGCACTGCACAGCTGCCCCGGCACTAAGAGGCAGCCACGGCCGTGGTTCACATCCCTCAGCAGCTGTGTGGCCGTGAACAGTGACTTGCCCTCTCTGCGCCTTGGCTCCTGGGGAAATGATAAGATGGTTGTGCGGATCAAGTGCGTTCATGGAAGCTGCGTAGCACAATGCCGACGTGAGCGTGGCACTCGGCGCCATCAGCGTTGTCCTCGTTTTTCAGCACTGAACCAGCCACTGAGCAGGGCTCTACCTGCAGCCACAGAGGCTGTTGGCCACCGGGCTGCAGAGGCTGGCGCCGCCCGCTCTCTCAGCCAGCCGCGGCCTGGGCATCTTCTCGGCCCTGAGAGCTGCCCTGCAGCACCTTGGCCCCGGGGCCCCGGGGCAGAAGGCCTGGGGTCCAGAGGCTCAGTCCACAGGCGGGCCCTGTGGGGCCACGGGGCGCTCAGGCCCCGGGAGTGGCAGGTAGCAGGGGGTGTTCTGTCCACAGCAGTTGAGCTGCCCTACAAACCTGGTGTCAGGACACCCTAAACCTTGCGGAGGGAACAGGCCAGGGAAGGCTGGGAAGGTTCAGGGAGCAGGGAGGGGGCACAGAGGCTTGTACAGGCTTTCTGCTCGCTGTGCTCAGAGCACCCAGGCACCCTCTGCTTCCTTGGGAACTTTCTCCTTTCTGCCCACGCTTGTTCTGCGCCCGCCCATCCCCCGCGGACTTCCGTTTTGTTTTACGAGACCTTGTCGGAGCGGGTTGACGTGACTGTTGGCACGTGAGTCACCACTGGGCGTGGGCACTGCCAAGCTGACCCGCTGGGAGTCTGCAGCATCTTTCCGGAGCATAAACTACGGCGAGCAAGCACAGCTCCCTGGAGCTTCCCCGGCGGAGCGGGATGATCCATTCGGACCATTTTCCTGAGTTAACCAGCCGGGCGCCTCCTGGCTGGAAACCCCAGGTCCACAGCAGACCTCACTCCCATGCGCCCAGCTAGCCAGGCACCCCCAAAAGCACGGGGGATCTACTTGCTTTCATTTCCATCCATCTTCGATGCAGGTCAAGCCTTGAACTCAGATCTCCGGGCTCCAAACCCAGGACTCAATTTGATATTCAAACAAGCATCCCCACTGCCCTGCGTCAAACGCCACTCTGAGATGGGTCATGAGGGGAGGCGTGGAAGACTCTGCAATCTGCAGGGCATTAAGATGAGGCTTAACTCTTCTCAGACACCACACAAAAGATGCACACCACTCACCTTACTGCACGCTGCATACACACCACACACTATCTCACGCAGTCCACACACTGTAATTGCACATAACACACACACAGGAACACACACCACACCATACGCGCGATCTCTCTCTCTCTCTCACACGCACACACACTGCATTGGTCAGCTTGGGAAGGTCTCCTCAGAGTTAACCTGCCAGGAAAGTGCCTATCGTCCCGACACCCACGCCAACTTCTGCCTTCACAGACCTGAGGAAGAGCCCTGACATGACATGGTATGGCTCTCGGTCCTCAGGAGTCCCTGAGGCAAAGCTCCAGGGAGGCAGGCCAGGTGACCCTCTTGGGTCACCTGACAAAACGCCATCCCCTCTGGTCTGCCACTGACAGGTGAACACACACACAGCGTTTGTTTATTCACTCAACAAATAGCCACTGGTTTCCCCACCGTGGGAGGCAGAGATAAGCAAGACAGACCATGGACTCGACCCGTCACCAGCAAGCTGCCGCCTTAGCAATGGTCTCCGGTGCTGGTGAAGACACGGGCTACAGGCTACGGGGTCGGCACTGTGGCTTGGCCCCCAAAGGGGTGTGTTAGGGTTTTCTAAATTGTGATAAAATACACTTTAGGTAGAAAGTACCATCGTGACTGTTGCTTAGTGCAGTTCAGTGGCATAAAGCATATGTACACTGTTGTCAAACCATCACCACCACCACCCCAGAACTCTGCCCCTTCCAACTGCTACTCTGTCCCCATAAACACCAGTCCCCATTGCCCTCCCTCAGGCCTGACCACGTCCATTCCAATTCCTGTTTTTATTAAATTGACTGTTTTACTGCATCATATTAGTGGAATCACACGCTGTCCTTCTGTGTCTGACTTATTTCATATAGCAAATGAACCTCAAGTTTCATCCACATTTTAGCGTGCATCAGGACTTCCTTTTTCAAAGCTGAATAACATTCCATTGTGTGCACATCTCACGCTTTATTTATTCATGCATACATTGACGGTCACTTGAGTTGCTTCCACCTTTTGGCAATTGTAAAAAATGCTGCTGTGAACACGGAACATAAATATCTTTTCCAAATCCTGTTATCAATTTGGGGGGGGTGATATACTGAGAAGAGGAATTGCTAGATCACGTGATAGGCCTGTTATTAATTTTTCTGAGGATCTGCCATACTGCTTCCCACCATGGCTACACCACTTCACATTCCCACCAGCAGCGCAAAGCGTTCCGGTTTCTCCACCTCCTCCCCCACACTTGCTATTTTGGGTTTTGTTTTTTATAATAGCCAACGTAATGGGTGGGAAGTGATGCATGCTGGCCTCGTCTTCTTCACTCTCATTTTTGCAGATGTGATTTATGAATTGCCCCTCTTCGGACCCCAGCATCTCCAACCAGGAGCATGAATTGTCCTCTCTCAGTGCGCCTGTGGCTGCACCCGGCTCTCCCAGAGGGCTGACCGCCCACACCAGGAAGTGTGCTGAATGCAGCCCAGCGCGGGGCCCCAGGGAGCTGGAGGTGGCCCCAGGCCTGCCCCTCCGCAGGTCCGAGAGCAGGAGCTAGTCCCTTTCCTCCTAGGCCTATTTTCTATCCGTCAAAGCCAGAAAAATATCAGCGCCTTCGCTCCTGACAAAGCAGAGCCCTGCTGCTAAAAAGGCTCTTGCTCGCTACAGCAACTGCAAGCCTCTGGGTTTGTCAAGACTGAAAAAGCCAAAAGAAAAAGGGGCGGGTCCCTGCCGCTTAGTAATGCACGTGGGCGATTTCAGAGTCAAGTTCAGGAGAACAAATTGAATCACGGAGGAGGCAGCTCTGCCACTTGCAGCCACGGACTGTTTGAAATCCTTTTAGAGGAAAATTGAAATATTTCACTGAGGGCAATAAAATGCCGGCTGATTTGCAGGAGTATCTCTCCGCTCTCTTAGGAAAAGAAGTAACTGGACGTTTTGATTTGGGTCCTCCATGTCATTAGTGGGGGGGGGGGACAAACACTGTTGTGGAAAACACATAAAATTCTGGAAATCACCAGAAGGTTAATTATAAAATTGTAAATGATAATAATAATAATAATAAGCAAGTAAGTGTGCACATTCTGGAAGCACAAGCTCTCAGCGCACTGTGGAGCCAAAGGGGCGCACTGAGGCTTCTGCTCCGGGCCCCAAGGGCAGGAATAGCAGCGCTTCCTTTGCTTCCAAGTGAAATGCCCAAGACTGTGGGCATGGTGCACCATACAGGGTCAGGCCTGGCACGGAGGCGAGGGTCTTTGGAGGTTATTCCGCACCTGTGGACCCTGAGGTATGTGGACCCCCGGAGCCAGCTGCTGGGGAACTGTGTGTGAGTCTGCTGTGCGCCATCACCCCTCACCATGATCCACTTAAAGGGAAGGGTTGATTCTTCTCCCAGCTGGAGGCCAGCTGCTCCATCCTGCAGGTGGGGAAACTGAGGCCTTGGCATCTTGGGCTCTGCCCTTCCTATGACCACGTGGGTCTCCAGACCGCTGAGTCAGCGATGCCCGGACTCCCTGGGGCTGGGGCTGGGGCTGGCTCCTGGAGGAGTAGGCCAGGAGCACGTCCAGGGCTCTGCCGTCTGCCCCTGCAGAGCCAACCCCTGCTGGGATCTTCTGGAGTGTCCATCCTCGCTCCTGCAAGACGAGAGAGGCGGAGGCGAGGCCGGAGATATGTGCAGAACTGGCTTGAAGCCCAGAAAAGCCACTGGTGGGGTGACAGTCGTGTTCATGGCATTTACCCCTCTTTGACGTCTCTCTAGGGTTTGGTTTATCCGTGGAGGCTTTTACCACTCCCAAAGACACCTGCACTTGGGTCACCTACCAGCTTCCTCAAACGCACTGGTGCGCATGTGTCTGCAGAGGGGAGGGGCGGTGTGTTTATCTGCAAACAGGAACTTCCCACAGCTTCTGGCCAGTCACCCACAGCATTCATATGAATGCACCTTGTGCTGGCTCACCCATTAACCTGTGCCTCCCCTGGCAGACAGGTCTACACTGAGCCACCCAGCAAACAGTAAGTGCCAGCTGTGTGCTGGGCCCTGAGGACTCAGAGCGGGCCTGAACCCATGAAACAACGTTCAGAGACAAGGAGGCATTTGAACGGGTCCTGAAAGCTGTGTAAGCACGATGAAAGGAGGGCGTTTCCCTGGCAGCGAGAGGGAGGGAGCAATAGGGTGATGGCAGAGACAAGAAGCAGCTCATGTGTGAGCAGCACTGGAGGAGCGACAGGTGTCAGGGAGATGGTCACGCTGCCCCGCAAGTCTCGAACCAGGGCTTGTGGTTCATACAGCCCAGCGACTGGCAGAGGGCCAGCCCTTAGCAGGTGACGAAGGAGCAGAGAGGAGGGGAGTGGCAGAGGAATGCGAAAATGCGTCGTGGCTTGTTCATAGAACAGAGTCTAGAGAGCAGTTGAAAAGGGGAAAACCAGTGTTATAAACACAGGTAATCGCCACATTCATGTTTTATCAGTAAAGTGAGTTATGGAAGAATTCAAAGTCTTCGCACACGAGGTCTTCAACATGTGAGCCATTACAGCAGATACGCCCTCCGAGGTGATACTCTATGAAGTGGCCCACGTTGGACCACATTGACATGCAAAAAAGAGTAGTTCCATTTGGTTCAGCCCGAGTTGAGATCCCAAGGGACACTCCATGCGTGGCGTGGAATACTACTCAGCTGTGAAAAAGGACCAAGCTGCTGATACATGCAACACCTTGCCTGGATCTCAAGGGGTTGGACCAAGTGGAACAGTCATCTCCAACAGTGGCTTCCCGTGTGGTCCCATTTCGAAGGTGTGCAAAGTGATGGAGATGGGGAGCAGGTAAGTGCCTGGAGCAGGGAGGGACAGAGCGGCTGCCGCTCTGGCAGGGACCTGGGTCACGAAGTGTGTGTATGTTGATGGTGCTCACGAGAATCCACGGCCAAACCATTGCGTAGAACTCAACACACACACACATGCTCCCGCCCAGGGGGATGTGAAGCCTGTGGTGTTAGACTGTGGTGGCTTCCACTGGTCCCTGCTGTGCCACAGTCAAGCAAGAAGTGAGCGCTAAGAAAGCCGGAGGGAGGGCACATCGCATCTTTCTGGAATACTTCTTGTCGGCTACGAATTAGAACCCCAAAGTAAAAAGTTAACACAAAACAAAGACCCAGCAATTCTAACCCAGCTCGAGCTCTATCTGTACTTTCCTTTAAATTCTGAAGGAGCCTTGCGGTGGGCGTGTGCCCGTCATTCCATGTGTGCAGAGAGACTGAAGACCGCTCCAAAGTGGCGGCTCATGCTCAACAACGAATTAAAGGCGGAGGATTTTCCTGGGCCAGGGGCGGGCTGCACAGACGGAGAGGGATGCCTAGGGGGTTCAGTTTCATCTGTCACGTTTCCCTCCTAGAAAAAGCAAAGTGGAACAAATCTGGCACAGTGCTGACTGCGCCAGGTGGTTGGTACCCAGCTGTTTCCTCCATTAGCCTCCACTGTGTTTTTATATTTGAAGTTAGTTCGTTCTAAAAGCTGGTCTCGCTAAACCCCTCCGTCCAGAGCCAGGGTTGGCCCTGGGAGGCAGAGGCCCGGGCCGGCTCCAGCCGCACGCGCGCCCCAGGCCGCCCGGAGCAGCCGCCGTGAGCCTGCCCTGCTCTCTCCACAGCCCCCGGAGAAGGAGGGCGCGCTGCCCAGGCAGGTGGGGAATAAGACCGAGTGTGGCCTGCTGGGCTTCGTGCTGGACCTGAAGCAGGACTACGAGCCCGTGCGCACCCAGATGCCCGAGGAGAAGCTGTACAAGGTGTATACCTTCAACTCCGTGCGCAAGTCCATGAGCACGGTCATCAAGCTGCCGGACGAGAGCTTCCGCATGTACAGCAAGGGAGCATCCGAGATCGTGCTCAAGAAGTAAGCGCCGGCCCGGGCCGGGGTGCGGGGCGCGAGCGGGGGGCGCCGGCCCGGGCCGGGGGTGCGGGCCCTGCCTGCCGCACTGGGACCCGGTGGGGTGTCCGGGCTGCAGGCACCAGGGCCCCGAGGGCAAGACACGGAAGGCCTGGGGCCCTGCCCGCTGCCCTTCCTCCTAAAAATGTCTGCTCTGCCGTCCCGCCCCTCCTCCCTCGGTCATGGCCCCCTGGAAGTTCTGCCCATTAACACTCTCAGCTCTTTCTTACTTCATGGCCCTTAGCGGACTTGGTCCTGTGGCTCCCTGGCACTCTGGGTGCCAAAAGAAGCCTAGAGAGCGAAGCCAGCGCTTGCCCTCCCTGGGCCTGTTTCCCCACTGCTGCCTTGGGGGGATCTGTCTACTCCAGGGAGCGTCAGCCCTGGGGACACAAGGAAATCACTCTGAGTCTTCGACTCACCCCAGACAGGCTGAATCGGGGCCTCGGGTGGGCTGGCCCGTGGGGATATAGACGGGGCTCCCCAAGCCAGGCCAGTGTGCAGGTAGGCCCCGGAGCCACCCGCCTAGGTTCTTTGCCCTTGGGAAACCATGGTCGCTGGGGGAATCTAAAACAAACAGATCAAAAGCTCTGCCCCTGCCCGTGGCCTGGGGCAAATCTTGCAACAAGCCCCCCGATTTCTACCCAGCCTGCCCGGGTTCCCTCCCTCTCTGGGGCCCAGGGGCGGGGGCCACCCTTCAGCGTTCCGGAAGTGGCCCGAATGGGCCCCGGGAGCGGCCCCAGCCAGCCAAACATCACTGCACAGGAGAAGAGCCGCGCCCAGCCGGCCAGGCGGCGCCTGACCAGTTCCCGCCCTCCACCCCAGGTGCTGCAAAATCCTCAGCGGGGCAGGCGAGCCCCGGGTCTTCCGGCCCCGCGACCGTGACGAGATGGTGAAGAGGGTGATCGAGCCCATGGCCTGCGACGGGCTGCGCACCATCTGCGTGGCGTACCGAGACTTCCCCGGCAGCCCGGAGCCCGACTGGGACAACGAGAACGACATCCTCAGTGACCTCACCTGCATCTGCGTGGTGGGCATCGAGGACCCCGTGCGGCCCGAGGTAGGCCCCCTGGGCCCACAGGCGGGAGGAGGGCAGGTGGGCCCAGCCCCCCGGGGCCTGACGCCTGTCGCCCCCGTTTCTCAGAGCGGGTCCGAGAAACAGCGCCTGCGGGTCTTTTCCTGCCCCCCCCATCCCTGAGGCCAGCCTAGCCATGCCCACGGAAGCCAAGTGGCCCACAGCTACTCTGGCCCCTCTGGGCCTGCCGGCCCCCCGCCCCCACCCCAGGCACAGGCAGGGAAAGGAGAGGGCGACGGAGAGAGGCGTGCCCGACCGTAGGGTGCGGGACGGAGGAGGGTCGTCCACCAAGGTGGCCGGACCCAGGCGGCACGTGGAGAGCAGCAGGTGGGGGAGGGGCCGCGGCGCAGACATTTCACGGGGTGTCTGTGCTCTGCCTCGAATCTGAGGGGTGCTGTCACCCCGTGGGGAGGGCCTGCCACAGGGCTTTTAGGGGTGACCAAGGGAGCGACTGCAGGAGGCGTCCCTCCTCCAGGAAACCGGCCCCTGGCTGCGGGGAGCAGCCATCAGCAGTCAGCAGGGCCTGAGATCTGCCGGGTTATCCGGGGGTGTTGGTGCCTTTGGGGGCACAGACAACGGCTGTCACCAGAAACAGCAGATGTTTAAAAGCCCGTATTTAATGAAAGCAGGAAGCGCCCATTTCCTGGCTTTTTTCCTCAGCGGAAAAATATTGAGGATAATTTTAGTAGCGAAAGGAGTTTTTTTGTCTCTCTCCCTTTTTTTAATCTCACAGCTCTTTGCACGAAGGGGAAGGCTTTTCTCAAGCAGACCGACGCCTCTGAGGCCCGAGCTTAACCGTCGGGGTGTCGGTGCCCAGAACAGTTAGGTGTTCAGGGCCCTTTGTGGGTCGTGAACGAGCCACAGCCAGGTCCTGAGGGCAGGGGGCACCCAGAATGGCTTCACGGTAGAGAGCATCTCTGTGAGAGATGGGAAGGACTTTTCCGAGATGGCGCGAGGGGTGGCCGGGCGCTGGGGACTCGCGACTGTCCCAGCAGGGCGCGTGAGAGAGGAGCCTGAAAGGGCTCGTGGCGCCCTTTTATTTGGGGGGGGGGGTGACGTGGCTCCTGATCCATTCATCCGGGTGTAAAGTCACACACCCAGGGTTGAGGCCTCAAGGGACCCCGCACGCCTCCTGGTGACACAGGCAGGGGCTGTCCACTGCGCCGCTGAGCCCACGCCTGGCGAAGGCCCAGGTAGAGGGCAGGGGCTGTCCAGTACACCAGGCATGGAATCCCTGTGGGTGCAGGGACAACGGGCAGCTGTCCCTGGGGTTTGGACCAACACCCTAAATCTGCCTTCGGTTCCTGGGACTGTGATGCAGAATAGCCTGGACAGGCTGGGTCGTGCACTGTCTCATGGACCCAGAGGCTGCAAGTTCAAGGTCAAGGTATCAGAGAGCGGGTTCCTCCTGCGGCCGGCCTGGCGGGTCCCCGAGTTCTGGTGCTTGGCTGGAGAGCTTCAGTCTTTTTGGCTTCCAGGAAATGCCTCATCGGGGGCCCCACATGTGTGGCTGTGTCCAAACGTCCCTCTTTTCAAGGGCGCCGGTCACCCTGGACGAGGGACCACTCTAAGGACCCCATCTCAACTTGACCACCTCTAGAAAGATGCATGTCCAAAGGGGTGACATTCTCGGGCGCCCGGGGGCAGACTTCAACATGGGGGGGTGGGGGTGGGCGAACAGTTCAGCCCACTGCTTTCTTCAAATTCCTCTGCAGAGGCTGGCAGGGCAGGGCGCAGGAGTGAGCCTCCAGTGCTAAGCCTTGCGAGACGGGGCCGTCTAGGCTCGAGAGTCTCAAGTGCTTGGTCTTCTGGGACAACTGGGGTTTGTGTCCTCCACAGCCTCCCCCACCCGTAAAGGCTTTGCAGCAAATGGCAAAAACCGCTTTATTAATCTCACCGCTGTCACTGCCCACGGGTAGGAATCTCTTGTTCATCGATCTGTGCTGTGCGTGAGGGCGACAGCAGCTCCAGGCTAGGTTTTCAGTCCTAATCACTGGGCCCCAGGGCCTTGCAGGCTTCTGATTGACTGGGTTTGCCGGGTCGGATGGGCCCGGATGTCAGTCAGTCGGCACAGACAGGGCGAAGGCAGGCCCCACTCTCTCAGGGAAATGTCATATTTTACATGAAACAGGATCACCGTGTTTATTCTAAGCCACTGTCACATTCTCCACATAATATGTCCCCCGATGCAGTACAGCACAGGAACAGATGTCGCTGAGATTGCAGGAAACGCGTGTGGCAAAGCAAGTCCTGTGCCATACTGCGTGCTCCACAGTCACCCCAGCTAATCCGAGGGGGTGTTTGTGGGGAGATTTTTTTCAAAACCCGTACTCAGGCCAGGATAGCCCGTGGTTTGTCCCTGGAGAAAATGGGCTGTGATGGTTGACAGGTGGTGGCTGCCTGGGCCTCAGCTGAGCATTCCGAGACCACGTGGGTGTAATCAGGGATGCTGTGATGGATTAGCAATGTCTGCCACTGGCACAGGGAGGGAGGAAGTAGCACATCGGCCTTACTTACCTCACATATCTACGCCCCTTACAGTGGGGCTGCCTGTGAGCAGGGCTCACTCAGAGTTCATGGGGGCAGGCGGGGCCTTCCAGAGGTAACACCCATCCCCATGGCTCCTGCCCTCCTGCCCAGGTCCCAGAAGCCATCCGCAAGTGCCAGAGGGCGGGCATCACGGTCCGCATGGTCACCGGTGACAACATCAACACAGCCCGGGCCATCGCCATCAAGTGTGGCATCATCCACCCTGGGGAGGACTTCCTGTGCCTTGAAGGCAAGGAGTTCAACCGGAGGATCCGCAACGAGAAAGGAGAGGTTCGTGGGTCCTCAGAGGGATGAGCCGGGGGGGCAGGGGAACGCTGACCCCGCTGGAGCCAGTTAGTGCACCCCTGAGAGCCAGCGCCTCCGGGCAAGCCCCGCCCTTCCGAGCCTCTGCTTCCCCCACCACTCTCCAACAACCTCCCCTCTGCTGTTCCTTTCCAGATTGAGCAGGAGCGAATTGACAAGATCTGGCCAAAGCTTCGGGTGCTGGCCCGCTCCTCCCCGACAGACAAGCACACCCTGGTCAAAGGTAAGACATGGAAGATTCCGAAACCAGAATCTCTCCCTCTCCTGGTCCCTGCAGCTTCTTTCCAGGGTGAAGGGAGCTTTTGCCTGAGCTTCCCACACCTGGAGACACCCCTGCCACCCCTTTGCAACTTGCCAGGCCTCCCCAGGGCCCCAGCGAGACAGGAAGGTTGTAAATCTTCCCTATAGACCCCACCTCCGGCAGCAAGCAGTGGGCCTGCCCACCTAGGGTCCAGAACTCAGGGCCCGAGGGCCAGCTGGGGCCCACAGGCCTATCTATGTATGTGGCTGATACTTGCCCTTTGGGGCCACAGACTTGAATGACTGCATGCACCCCGAATCTCTCTCAGCAGCCTCCCCTCTCAGTGTCTGTCCCTCAGCCCGCTGCAGGACGGGCCTTCTCAGTCTCGCCCCAGGGCGTGTGAGCTTGAGCTCCTGGTCTGCAGGGCCTCTGGGCCCCCAACCAGGGTCTGTCACCAGGCCCAGGTGGTAGGTGGGCCAGCCTGCGAAGGGCAAGCTGAGAGGAGAGCCCAGAGCCAGTCGGCAAGCTGAGCCTGCGCCCTCCCCTGCTCAGCCGGGCCAGGCGGCTGGGACTGGGCTCTTTACAGTCGCAGTCCGGGCTCCAGCCCTGGCTCTGCCACTGGCCTGCTCTCTGGCACTAGTTTCACCGTCTGTAAAGTGGCCACTGGAGGCAGGTTTCGGGTACCTGGACTCCTCTCTCAAAACGCTACCCAAGGACATTAGTGGCGGCAGATGGGGTCTGGCGAGAACCCCAGAACTGTACCCAAGCAAGAGGCGCCCCATTCCCATGTCTCGTTCACTCACGCCCTTGGTCATCGGCTCGTTCTCTTGATGACCGTTTATTGAGGGGCTCTGCCCCGGGCTTGGCAATCAGGGCCCCATTCCACCCAGTGGGTACGGACTGGGTGGTTTCCCCACCCAGAGCTAAGAAACGTGCAGGGTGCTCCCCACAGCATGGACGGGCGGCGGGCGGCGGGCACGGGTCTGTGTCCAGGCAGGGCCGTGATCTGTTCTGGCACCTTCAAGACGTGGAAGGAGGTTCGCTGAGTGGCTGAGTCTGCCAGAGAGGGGCTCGCGGTGGGGACCCTGGCATCAGATCAGTGAGCCCCTGAATGCCAGGCCAGTGAACAGTTACCCCGGGGCCGGGAGCCTGGGAGGACCTGAGAGGGAAGCCCAGCTGAGAAGCTCACTCCCTGACACGTGGACAGTGGCCTGGGGCGCAGGGGCCTCACTGTCCAGCGGCGAGAGGTGACCTCGTGGGGAAGGACTGTCCAGGAGGAGCCGGAAGTAGGGTCTGAGGACCATGAGGGTGGAGAATCAGCTGGGCCTGGGGCTGTTTGGATGCCACAGGGGCCTTGCCGGGGCGGGATGGAGGCGGGCATCTGGGAAGACCCTCCTCTCGGCTTCGTGGCGAGCAGTAGGGCAGTGAAGAGGAGGGACAGCCTGGGGCCACGGGGGAGTAAGTGGCCTTGGAGGGAAACCCCAACAGCCGAGGAACTGGCAGGTGAACCCCGAAAATGCCAATGGACTCAAGGGGCCATTCCTGGGCAGGAGAAGTCAGGGCCCCCACCAGTGCGGGGAGCAGCCCAGGCTGACCCAGGGCGGTGGCGTCAGAGCCGGCCTTGAAGAGGAGGGACTTTGCCAGCTGCAAAGAGCAGGGGACGGGTGAGGTGAGCGGCCCAATCGGGGAGCTCACACCGGGTCTTGAGGGGGGGCCGGTGCCGCAAAAGCTTCCCAGGGAAAGTGGCATCTGCACTGACACTTGGGCGGCCAAGGGGCTGGCTGGGCAGAGACCGGGCAGAGCCGCCGTGCGGGCGCTCAGGTTGGGGTGCTCGGCGGCTGCGCGGATGGGAGGGAGAGCCCGGGGGGCCAGAGAGGCTGGTGGCCAAGGGGCGGGGAGGCAGCGGCCGGGGGCCGCCAGAGCAGGACGCACGGCCTCGGCCATGCACCGGCCTGCGTCCGCGCCAGGGACGTCTCTGCCAGGTCGCGTCCTCCCCGGGCCCGGGGTCACGTCCTCCACTCGCTCAGTGGCAGAGTCACATGGCATCTGCCATGGCCATCGGTCCATGAAAGCCTGCAGGGGGCTCGGGCCACAGCATAGGTCAGAGGTTGCTGGCAAATGGCCGACCCCAAGGGCAGGTGGTGGGACCCCAGCAGCCCCTCGGAGCCCCCCGGGCAGGCGGAGGAGGGGTCTCGGGTTACTAGGGTCAGGGCAGGCGCAGCCGCGGAGAGCCCGGGAGGGGGCCGGGCAGGGCCGGATGCCACTGAGTGCCCGGCGCCCGCAGGCATCATCGACAGCACGCACACGGAGCAGCGGCAGGTGGTGGCGGTGACCGGGGACGGCACCAACGACGGGCCGGCGCTCAAGAAGGCCGACGTGGGCTTCGCCATGGTAGGCGGCGGCGGGCGGCGGGGCGGGGACCACACGGGACCCCACTGCACACTCGCCCGCCCACTGTCCACTGTGTTCCTGACACCCTAGATGCTCGGCCTGACCCTGAGGGGTAGCGGAGGCCCCCCTAGGGGGGACAAGGGGGCGGGGGGGCGGGGGAGGAGCCGGCAAGGGGCTCCCCGATGGTTGGCCTCAGAGACTTGGGGGAGCGGGGCGGGGTGCGTGCACGTGCATGCTGCTACGCCCGTGCACTGCCAGGTGCCAGGTGCATGCTCCTGGCTGTGCCTGCAGGTGGGCGAGTGTCTGGGGGTCGTGTAAGCCCCTGGCCACCATTGCCACCCCACCCGGACGCTCGTCCCTGTCCCCTCAGGGCATCGCGGGCACAGACGTGGCCAAGGAGGCCTCGGACATCATCCTGACGGACGACAACTTCAGCAGCATCGTCAAGGCGGTGATGTGGGGCCGCAATGTCTATGACAGCATCTCCAAGTTCCTGCAGTTCCAGCTGACCGTCAACGTGGTGGCCGTGATCGTGGCCTTCACCGGCGCCTGCATCACACAGGTGGGCCCCCGCGGCGGGCGGGCCAGAGACCATGCGGCACCCCAAGCTGTCCCTGGGCTGACTGCTGAGGGCCGGATCTGTACCCGAGGTCGGATGCAGGCGTCAGCCCCAGGGCGCCAGCAGGAGGCCCGGGGGGCGGGTGTGCCCGAGGGCACGTGGCAGCTGGCGTGGCAGGTGTCCCCCACGTGCGTGGCCTGCGCAGGCCGTGGAGGCAGGAGCGGCAGGGCCAGCGGGAGGCAGAGGCCCGCCTGCCTGGGTCTCGAGGCCAGGAGGGGCAGCCAGAGGGTGTCCGGGCTTGAGTCCCTGGGTACCTGGGTATCCTGGGAGAGGGGGTGTCTGTCCGCCACCGCCTCTGAGTCCTGCGCCCCGAGAAGCCGACAGGCAGGCACAGCGTCCATGGGGTCAGCCCTCTGGGGCAGACACCGCGAGATCCCCATTTTTCAGCAGGGGTCTGAGGCCTGGGACCCCCGCTCCCTGCTCCACCCTGGGGCTGAGAGGGGAGGGTCGATGCCAAGGTCCGGCCCCTCCCAGCGGCCATTGGGAAGACAAGTTCCCGCCCCGACACCCCCAGAGGCCTGGAGGACAGAACTGCCCCCAAGAGAGGGGCCCAGAATGCTGCACCTGCACCCCAGCCCCTAAATCGGCCTTCGGGAAGGGGCTGGACAGGGTGGGCCCTTCTCTCCTGGCCTGTGGACGAGGCGCCCCCTCTAGTGGTGGCCTGGGGGACACTCTGGGGCGGCTGCACCCCCTGTGAGTCTTGGAGGCCTCCTGGTGCCAGATGGGGAAACCGAGGTTCCCAGAGTGACAGTGACACTCCGGCAGCAGGAGGGCGCGGGAAGGGAGCGAGCCGGTGGCGCTGGCCGGGAGAAGCCAGGCCTGGGGTGGACAGAGGGCTGCTGCTGCTCGAGCCGGCCAGGGCCCCCGCAGGCAGGCGCTGCTGAGCGGTCAGCCCTGCGTGGGGGCCGCGCCGTGACCCCCGGCCGCCGTCCCCAGGACTCGCCCCTGAAGGCCGTGCAGATGCTCTGGGTGAACCTCATCATGGACACCTTCGCGTCGCTGGCGCTGGCCACCGAGCCGCCCACCGAGACCCTGCTGCTGAGGAAGCCGTACGGCCGCAACAAGCCCCTCATCTCCCGCACCATGATGAAGAACATTCTGGGCCACGCCGTCTACCAGCTCACCCTCATCTTCACCCTGCTCTTCATGGGTGAGTCGCTGCGCCCTCGCGGGCCCCAGAGCCCCCTGCTGCCCGAGGCCCGGGGCGGCCGGCCCAGAGCAGGACGCCCGCAGCACTGCCGGAGGGCGTGGGGCTGGGCGCGGGCCCTGGGGGTGCCCCAGGACACAGGCGGGCTGGGGCGCAGCCGGACAGAGACCCACACCCGCTGGGCAAGAGGGCCCGGCTTCCTCCCACGCTTCAGAGAAGCAGGCCGAGTCGCCTCTGGGTGGTGGGTGAGCCACAGGGGTCCAGAGAAGGAGGGGACACTCCCCACGTCCACATAAGACAGGCACCCTGGTGGCGCAGCGGGTTGGGGCGCAGCACAGCAAGCTGGCCGCAGCCACTCCCACATGAGTTCGATCCCCGCCTGCCCCGGAGGTGACCCCAGGGCGCAGCAGACCCCTCCTGACCCGCCCGCTGCTCCCCGCAGCAGTGGGCTTCATCATCTGCCTGTTCTGCTCCCCGCTCTGTCTCTGGTAGATCCTCTTATGGCCCCCGCACCTCTGGCTTGTACCCCAGTTCTGATTGCATAAATAAATCTTAAAAAAAAAGCTGGGCACCTCCAAGGGCCGCCCTCCCCCTTCAGCCTCGAAGGTGGTGTGGCAGGTGCCGCACAGACACAGTGGCCCGCCGAAGGGGCCCGGGGGACACGGGCCGGTGGCCGGGGGGCAGGGTGTGGGCACGGAGGTGTCGGACGTGGGGACACCCGCACCCCTGGAGACCCCCACCAGCCTGCTCGCGCCACTCCCTCGGCTCCCCAAAGGCCGGGTCACGGCAGCCCAGGGCGCGCCCCTCCCCGGAGGCACAGGCAGGCACAGAGGGAGCGGCCGCTGGGCGTGGGCCCACCCCACAGGAGCCAGCGTCCCCTCACGGCCCGGGCGTCCGGCACGTTCGGGCCTCCGGCGGGTATTCCTGACCGGGCCCGGCCGCCAGGCTAGGGGAGGTCGCCGACCGGGTGCAGCTGCCGAGGCCTTCATCAGGTTCCCGCGGGCAGATCACCCAGGTCTCCCCAAAAGAGAGAGGGCTGTCTCC